TATATATATATATATATATATATATATATATATATATATATATATATATATATTTTATTTTTAATTTTTTTTCCAGCAGACTCTTTTATGCAAAGTGACATACCTTTTCAGAAGGCAGGATCAGCCCGTCCTTGGAGTAATTATGGGTTAAGGGCCTTGCTCAAGGGCCCAACAGTGAAATCATTTACCTCCTTAAAACAATGTTTTTAGGCCAACTTGTTTACATTGCAGGTGAGGTTTCCCCATTTCCAAAAAAAAAAACTGCTGATCTGCACATCAGTCACAACAAAAAGATGCAATATTTGTGGTATATTCATTTTGCAGTAACTATGATGAGAATCATGTGTGGGATCATATGTAGAATCTCAGGGGAACTCCTCTTTTACGCTTCTGTTTGTCTGGTGAAGTGCTCAAAGCCTGTTTGATGTACAGGAATATTTTCCAGTGCACAAAAATGGCACACATGGCCTTGTTCCACAAATGCATCCTGCACATGAAATGTTTCCTATCAGGTGTCTCAGTGGATGATATGGTGCTTCATGGTGTACGGAGATCATGCAGCTCCTGAAGTCTTCCAGGAGGCATTGTGCTCCACAGTGAAGGAGAATCGGCAGTCTTCCTACTTCACTATGAACTTTGCCCCATTCAACATCTACTGGTGAACATAAGTATCTGGTGGTCTTTTAAATTTAAAAGCAGATCTGGTCGCCTGTTCCAAGCACTGATTACCTTTTCCTCACTGTACAGTGTAGAGCAGGGGTGTCAAACTGCAGTCCTAGGGGGCCGGAGCCCTGTGTAGCTTAGTTCTTTCCCTGTTCCACCACAAATGATTTAGCTCAACAGCTATTTGGTAATTAGCACATGAAGTTGAATCAGGTGTGTTAAATGAGGGGAAACCCAAAAATGTGCAGGACTCCGCCCCCCCAGGACTGGAGTCTGACACCTGTGGTGTAGAGGATGCTTGTCCCCTATAGAGTTTTATAATAGTGTATTATGTAGATTACCAGCTTCTCCTCAAAGTCTGGAACTCCACAGCCAACCAGTCATGGTGTCCACAGCAGTAGGTCTCATAGCCCAGCATTTGGAGGTGCTTAATTCCAGTCCATCTGAAAGAGATCGTTTAAATATAATGGTATAAGGAAATAGAAAAGTTTAATTTATCATGTGATAATTCATATCTTGGTTAGGATGCTTTGCTGGGAGTGGAGATATCGTTCAGTATTGGTCTCAGATTAGTTATATGTTGTGTTCTCTAGGGATGAGTTTGGAGACTGTGCTTGTGATTGGAAGGTCACCAGTTCAAATCCACAAGTCAGTGGAGTGATTTCACCGTTGGGCCCTTGAGCGAGGCCCTTAACCCCACAGTTGCTCCAAGGACTTGCTGGACCTGCTCGCTCAAAAGGCATATCACTTTGCATAAAAGTGTCTGCTAAAATATATCAGAAAATCTAGTGTTTAACCTACTCAGTTTAAACCCTGGCTTTGAGTTTATGCTCTCAGTCTGTTTCAAGTCTTGTCATAACCTAAAAGCAATTTTGCCATTGAATATTCAAATTGCACCTCGCCACATCTGGTTAACGTACAACGGCACCGATGATCCAAGTGGACCTTAAACTCTCAGAAGTTTCCTTATGTTAAAAGGCTTTCTGAAGCTGAAAACTCTATTCATGTTAAAAATAAAAAAAAGCCCCCAGAAAGCTCAGGTGTTGCCGAAGGCCTGTGGAGGTCTGGGACTGGTTAAAGAGATCGTCTCCCATTTTATCCCTGCGCACGTGATTCGCAGCGCAGAGGCTGGCTAACTGTAAACACGCTCTTCAAAGTTTGGCACACAGGCCTTAAAAGCCTTGGTGGAAGGCGGCCAGACCCGCTTAGTGTCAAGATGTGTGTCTCTCGCAACGCTCTTGGCTCAAACCAGGACCCTTCCTGAGTCGCTATAGAGGACAGGCGTAAAAACAGAGATGAAAAGAGAAATCTGATTGGGCAAGATTCCGAAATATTGTGACATGCATACTTATTGGTGCACTTTGTGTCATGGTATCTGTTAGAGCACTTTAAACTACAGCAACAAAAAATTGCTTTTGTTTACATGTTTATAATATAGAGCGTATTATATAAAATACGCAAAATATAATATGGAATCTTAATACGACTTTTCACTCATGGAAAAGACCTTTGGAGTCACCAAGAAACCTCTTACTTTGCTTTCAGACAGAAAACCCCTGTATTCCCCTATTTAAATCATTTTGTTAGTTACTTGGGTATTGCTGGTGTCTGCCAGTCTCACTGAGTGCCTTTGTGAGCGCTTCGAGATGGAGAAGTGGAAATGGGGCATGTAGCTTTCCTCTGATGGACCATTAAAGCGAAAGTCCACCGGAGACTCGGCTCCTAATCCAGGGCAGCTAAGCTGCTTATCTGGATGCTGAACAGGCCGTGACTCCAGGCTGGTACCGTGCCCCACAAAGCAGTAATCTCATGGGAAATTTCATCATTAATATGGGAGGTAGAGGTGGAGCTGTGTGCTAAACTGCCCCCAGCCTCTCTTGTCCTACTCCTCCCCCCCCCACCTGGGATTCAACCACCTGGTAAGTTATTCAGGCCCCCACAGACAACCTCAACCACAGGTGTGCCTGGGAAGACCTTTAACTCTCTATCCCCCTCGCAGAAAATGCATCTGCCTATCAGCTCCCACAGGAAAAAAAGAAATGGGTCATCCTAGCCCCCTTTCCGAATTTCCGAGCCCCTCCGTTTTTATAAAGCGTTTCATGCATTAAACTCCCTTTGTGTTTCCTATTAGGATTTCAAAAATAGGTCAGCGGGTAATATTGCCGTTTAATAACTAACCGTATATCTGTCATTATGATATGCAAGTCTAAACACAGACTGAGCACAGACTGTTACAATTTTCCTAATAATGTGTAACAGCAGAAAACCAAAAAAAAATATATGAATTTGACACGTTGTGTTGGTCACGGCCGGGATACCGGGACCATCTCTCCGTGATCTCTCAGCCCATTGGCCACCCTCGACGTCTGTCACTCGTGCTGTCGTGGATACCGGGAAACCGACACGTTTGTCGGGAAGGGGAAAGTCTCCCTGCTAGGGCATTTTTGTTTTTTATTCCACCCATTTAAAAACCGCACGCTGCTGCGGCAATGGTGAGGGGGCGGGTTCGAGCTAGCATCTGCCTACCATTAGGCCCAGCTAATGGCTGACACCCGTTTCAAAGAAAACCGCTCCTTGATACCTGAACCGCCCCATTCACCGGGCAAACGCAGCCTCACAATGCCCTCACCTACAGAGCGCCTGGTCGAGGAGTAACACACTTAAAGAGGTATTCTTTTATTTATTTATTTTTGTGAAGGAGGCCCATTGCTTTTAAAGCTTGTCCAGTTGGCTATAAATCCTGCAGTGGCCATTATGAAAACCTAAGCTGGGTATTTCAGAATTGTTAACTAATCCTAAACCCAAAAGGATTAGACGCAAGGGATCCTGGGCCCGATGTTCGAGTAGAAATGCAGCGACATTTTCAGAATACGCACTTCCTGCTGAACCGATCAATTTTCCTCGCCCACATGGACAGAACAAAGGTTCATAGCTCTCAGAAGCCTGAGCAGGCCAAAGGCGGCACAGCAGACTGCCCTCTCCTCCAATCAGGGCCCAGTCCTCTTTTTCCCGCGGGGACTGTTCCTGGAGCTTGCCACGTTTCCACCTCTGCCTCCGTAATTCAGTCTCATGTTTGCAATTAGCGAAGCATCGTCCATTTATTTATTTATTTATTTGCTCAGGTTTTTGAAGATAATTCCCTGAACCATGTCAAAGGCTTCCAGATCTCTCTCTCTCATTCCATTTATAAAGACCTTCTGTGTCAGCCTCTGCGCAAACTAGCTAATGTCCATAGTTGCCACTTAAAAAAGGGGGAAATTTTATTTTGAAAATTTCTGAAAATTTCCAGATCCGGCTGTAAAATGTAGGGTGGCCCACAGGATTATCTGGTGAGAAGGGAGTTGGGCTGGGTTGGGAATAAAAATCCAAAAGGACTGCATTAAAAGTGTGCTTGTTTCCTTCCTACTTACAGTCATTTAAAAAATCCATATCTGGAGTGAGTTAAGTGCATGGCTGAATGGGTCATGCAGCAAAAAATGCATCTATTACAAGCAGACTTCTGATCTTATAATTTTCACTGTCCTACTCTGATTAAGCAGACACTGAGATCTTAATTATGAGGAAAAAGCTCAAGTGTGCAGTATTTTTGGACAATATTAAACGAAGATTAGCTCTCTTTGAATTTTTTTGGCTTTTGGAAGGATGCTTTGGATTAAAATCAGAACACGGAACCGCTGGACACACAACCTGTTTTCTGACAAACTCCAAGAATCTCCCCTTTTGGTGGCCGTTGAGGAAGGACAAGGGGGTGAATGCAGCCCCGTGCTGGATCCACGCCTAGGGTACGGCCACAATCAAGGTTCATCGGCCTTTGAGGAAAATCTGCCCAAGATATCTACCTAGGAAGATAAAAGCGAAATTGCAGGCGGTTAAAAGAGAGAGAGAAATTGGCTACGTGACTATAAATCGCAGGAAGGAAGAGCTGGATCCAATGCCAAAGTACATCCCTGGTCCACCCCAAATCCCCCCGAATGAATGTCACAGGAAGCCATTAAAAGAAACGGATCCCCAGCTCCTGAGAGACTGTGACGAGTCGAGGGCGAGGTCAATCGGTGGCTGACACATCGGCAATGGCGTCAAAAGCTGCCCCATTTGGTCACATTTCCAGCGAGTCCTAACCCCACCCGACCTCCCAATGTCCAATTCCTCCACTGACGCCAAGGTCTGCAGGGTATGCCCCCCCCCCCCCCCCCCTCCCCCAGCTGTTCATCTCATCGGAGCCCTGGGCAGAGGAAACAATGTCTCTCTCCCACCTCTTCCTCCTCTGCTCTTGTCATCAGGCCTCCTCGATGCACATGAGGAAAGGACAGCTGACTCAGCTGTCCGTCTTGGTGCTTACACTTGGGGGTGCTCCAGAGCTTTGATAAAATTTAGCACGGGTCAGCCGGGGGAATCAAGTACTTTGATTGCCGTAATTATGCTTCTGCACTGTGGGGGAAGAGACATCTCCTCTTCAGTTGATTGGGTCAGGGACTAACTCTGTACATTCATATTTCACTGAGGTTTGTACAGCCATAGAGTATCTAAGATTACAAACAGCCTGTTACAGTTCAGTCTGTCATAGGGATCTGATATATTTTTCAATATAATATTAGACAGACCACCTGATGTCTGATGAAAGATTGTCTGAGGCCCTGTCCAAATAGCCACAATGAGCCAGAGAGGTTAGAAAAACAAATAAAACTGACTCCCAAACTGACTGTGGGTCAGAGAGAGAATGATCACAGTGACCGTGGCAACTGGAGACTCATAAAAACTCACTTTTCCTCCATAAGGTCACAGACAGTAGCACCGATTTACAGTCGAAGGTACAGTCTCTGGTTCTGGGGATTTTTGGTCAACTAGGCTGCCATTTTTATGGCAATTTTGGTCAACTAGGCTGCCTGTTATGAAGATGAGCTTCTGAGCCACATCTCAGTGGACCTTTCTGTGCACAAAAGACCTGGAACCAAAAAAAAATGATCAGAATGTGAAAACTGTGGACATTCTTGGATGGGAATATGTGTAGGGAATGAAATCTGGCCAGACAATATCTTAGAAGCTAAAGATCTGGTTTGGAATCCACTGGATGTCCAGCAAGCTCTCTTTCTCTCTGCTGAAAACTGAAGTACGTTTCCCATCAGTAAATACTGAAAGTCAGCCAAAATGAAGTCATAGTGGAGCATCTTAGGCATTAGCCCGCGCCCTTCACCCGGCATTGCAGGCATCTCAAACTCGCAAAAAATGTCCCACAAATAGTTGTGGAGAAGAAGCCGGGCAGATGAGGGATGGAATCTGTGGAACAACAGATTGTTGATGTTGATTACCACCAACATCAACATCGGCTGAGAGGAATCGGTGTGCAAACAAGGCTACACATCCCCATCAACTGTTTTTGCTAATAGCAACTGGACACAAAGTTCCCAGACTTTTCCGTTTGATACCCTTTTATCTATTTCCTGTGGAACACAGTTTTTCACTGATATATTAATAATGTAGCAATATGTTCTAAAGGCCACATTTCACTTTCTCCCTTTACTCCCGTAGCTACATCGATATTATCTAGCTGGCAAGCGTTACTACAGCAATCAACGTGGCTGCACATTGTGTAACTTCCCATGTGCATGAGCGGATTATCACCCCAAACTCTTTCCATCTTTTGTTTTCCGTAACGAGAGAGAGAGAGAGAGAGAGAGAGAGAGAGCACAATACTTTGTTACCTCTTCCCTGGGACCTTAATGGCCACGAAAATGCGATTCAGATGTTGCCAGTCAGATGAGTGACCCCACCGTAGTCATTCCTGACATGCTCATGGCCACCCATTGTTGGCACAAGGGGGTCTGACGGGAACCAGGAAGTGCTGCCCGGCGAGGACAGCGGCTGCTGCAGTTAGACACAGGAAGGGGAAGTCCAGGCCCGGTGACACAGCCCCAGCACCTGGAACACATTCGAACCTGATAGTGCGAGATGTGCGATAGAGAGGAAGTTGTAAGAGGTCATTTCCTGCAATCTGCTTACGGTGCTGTAGGTTTGCCTTCAGACCTGATAGCCCAATGCCCGTCCGTCATCCCGGCACCGGCACGGCTGTGACCCTCGGCTGACTGTCCTTGACGTTTTAGTCCTGATAACTAAAGATTAGACGGCAGAACATTTATGAGTAATAGTGCTAGCTGTTCAGAGGCTGTGGGGAACATGCTCGTTCTGTTGTGTTGCCAATAACAATAGTAGCAACAACAGTAAATATCAAATATAAGTGCATGATTTCTGGTTGAACAAGACCATCTGCCATCATTGGTTTGTATTCAGCTGTCTGCTCCGGGTCTCATTTGTGAGTTCCTAAGGATCCACAAGTTTATGGTAGAAATAGGCAGGGGTGCGGGAGACATTTTTGATGTGGGGGAGATCAAACAAAAGGTCTCAACTGTCAAGCTTACACAGCCATGCTTGATGAGGCATTCAGTGTAATTTGGGCTAATGGTTTAACACGCTGAGCATTTTTACTGACACACTCGCCGACATACAGTACATACAATGTTACTTTGTTGTCCAGTATGGAGTTGCCAATCATCCATAAATGGCCGACTGGACAATAGCATAAACAACAGACAGCTTTCTATACAATCTGTTGCAAGTTTAACTTTACCCCAGTAGAGTGTAATATTTAATGAACCTCAGTATACTGTAATGTTACATATTATGTGAGGACACATTCATAGATTTATTGCATAATTCTAACAGACATCATTTTATGTTAGATAAAGCTTTGTTACAGTAACACAAATTAGTATGAGATACGGGAAAAATTATGTTGACAATTGCATCCAACATAGGCTTAGAATAGATTATATAGACTTGTATAGACTTATTTTCTTCGTTAGATCAGTAAGTCATCATGGAAGTGGAAAACTGGAAGCTATGTTTAAAGGGAAATAGGCATATGTGCACTGTACATTTAGATATCTCACCCTATTTAGGGATGCTACGTACTTATTAAAGTTTTTTTCTCCTCAAAAGTGAGGGGGACGAAACAGGGTCCCTATAAAACTGGGGCGGAACATGACCCCCCATATGCATCACTGAATTGCATTCACTCTTCACAGACTGGAAACTTGTTTTTCTTTTGGTTACCTTTTAACCCTACCCACCTCCCATCAGCCAATGGGTTGACTTCACCGGAGGAGTTCCTCCTTGTTCCTCTCTGTGATACAACTTCAGCAGAACTTACATTTCATGCCGACCTCTGTCTGGAGGATTCTGGCCAATCTGCATATCTATAGGCCAATCAGAGAAGGACTTCCGACATTAAAACCATACTAGTGTGTTGGCCAAACTCGCAGAGGTAATTATTTTTCCAGCCTGCCTGATTGCTAAATTGCCTGTTGTCAGTCCTTGGGCAATTTGACCTTATCTCAAATTATGTGCAGTCATTTCAGCTCATATCTTAATCATATCAGCGCTGGAGCACACGGCTCAGGAGGAAGACAATGTGGCCAGGAATTCTATCGATTCATTTTCCAGTGACGCGGATCCAGTTTTTAACTGGCATATTTGTGCAACTTCAGTTTTTCAGTTGTGTCTCTTTGTTTCTATTTTGGCTTTTGTGCAGTTTCAGCTTTCGGCAGATCATCAAGTGTATGAAAACGAGGGGACTTTGGATTACCCAGTTTGCACATACAGTACCTGTCGATGTCACTGAGCTCCAGTCGTCAATGTGCTCTTTGGCTTGGAAAGCTGAATGCACCGATGGTCGGATGATCTCTAGGTCCTCAAAGTGAATTCTGTCCTTGATCTACATAGAGAACCCTTACCTATCCTTAGGTATTCTTGGCCCTATCCATAGTTCCTGCTAAGTTCTGGTTGGCAGAGTAATTTCAGCGTTAGGCTCTAGAGCCAGGCCCATACCCACCAAATGCTTCAGGGGCAGCATGTGGCTCAGTGGGCTAAGCCGTGTGCCTGTAATCACAAGGTCGCTGGTTCAAACCCAGCCTTAGCATGTCGGCGGGCTCTTTGAGGAAGACCCTCAACCTCCAGCTCCCTGGGTGCTGCTACAGGTGGCTGCCCTTTGCAGAGAGCTTGCTCTACAAAGAGCAAGATGAGGGAGGCATAAAAAGAATTTCCCCATGGGGATTAATAAAAGTGTAAATTATTATTAGGAACTGGATAGTCCTGCTCTCTTGGTTGTATATTGCTGTGGGAAAAAATGTATGTAAGTTCAAGAGGGTAGATGATTGCTAAAACTAAATTTGTACTGTTTGTGCCGAGTCATTTTAAGGTATTGTTTGTGGAGGTTTTTGCAAAAGCATTACATCACCACAGCTCTGTTCACATGGAGAGGTGACTCCCAACTGTCGCCATTAAGCTGAAAGACAGGTGACTAAAAATGATTCAGCTGTCTAATGGTGCGTTCCATTTGTCTTCTGATTCGAGTTTCGGTTGTCGAGATTACGTCACATCCACTAAAAATTTGGGGAAAACCAAATCGGACGCATTCCATTTGCCACAGAAGTAGCAATACCATGGACCCATATCAAAAAGCAAGATTTTTTGCTTAGCCGGACAACTTGTCGGATTTAAGGTACCTCAGTTTAAATGGCTTTTATTTTTGTTCACTTACAATTAGCCCGAACTACCTTAAATCCGGCAAATAATCCGACTAATGAAATCCATTTCTAGCCCAGTTAATTGTTAGCCATTGTTAGCAATATCAGTTGATAACACATTACGCATGCTGCTTTACGTACAGTATAAAACTATGTACAGTAGCAACACGCCCACAGATAAGTTGGACGGTATAGTGTGTGTGACCGATTTAATGAGCCACAAATGAGAAGTAGTGCTTAAACAGTATAAAACTACAACTTTCCCTTCTGTTGATAAAGGGCGCAGCCATCTTGGATTTTGAACTCGCGATCCTCTGTGCTGCTCCGAGATATTTCTCGGATCTCCGAGAAACGGGAGCGCGCATGTCGTCACTTCCGGCTTCAAAACTCTGAATCCGACTCAGAATCCGAGTTCCGAGGGCAAATGGAACATACCATAAATACCTATCAGGACTCCAGGGTTTGGGCTACTGAAGAATCTTCTGTTTGGTGCTTTGTTGGCATTTGATAGTCAATGTAGGGGACATACTCAACACCTGCAGGTTTCTTAGTGACACATAAGCGTTCTCACATTTCATCAACAGATTATAATATTTCATTAGAAAAGGATTAAGTTCAAGAACGTCAGCTTCTGTCAAAGAGGGGAACAGCCTCTTTAGCCCAATGTATCTACAGTTGGTGTGACTTAGTGGAGATGCCATTCAGTCCATTACCTCAATACACATTACGGTTCTGGCTCCAGATGAGGCCTGGCCAGAATGATGAGCTCTTGCCCTACATTCCCATCCACAACATTCACCTCTTTTTTTAATCTCATTTCTTCCAATTGCATTAAAAAACAGCTGTTTCTTATAGGAAGCACAGTCAAGGCTCAGTCTATCTATCTATCTAGTTAGTCTAGCTAGGTAGTTAGATATTAGCGTATCTGTAATGGCTGACCTTGACCCTGTTAAGCTCCCACCTATGGAGACACGGGGTGTGAAACTCTGCCACACCATCCGGTCCTAATGGAAAAGAGGAGGATCCCAGACCACAGGCCGAGTCTGCAAGAGCAGGCCACTCACCCTTTCGAGGAGTGTGGGTCTGCTGACCTCATCAGTGCCGGTGGAGTAGGCTGAGTTGGCGTGGTTCTCCTGGAGGAAGGAAGTCTGGTCTGGCTCCACGGAGAGCATCCTGACCCCGCATGGCGTCAACGTCTCCCGGAGGAGTGCTTCACGCCACCTCCCCCCGACCCTCCATCCAGGAAGCAGAGCGCCGCCCCGGCGTGGGTGCGGATCATTCCGAGGTCGGTTCCGCTTTTATGTCCCGTACCTGAGTGCTGGAAGCTCTGTCCCAGTGTCTAATGGCTCGTAATATGGACCAGACCTGAGCTGGACCTGGTCCATCAGCCAGGCAGGGTCAAGTATCGCCTCATGGAGGGAGGGGGCAAATCAGGGGTACAGTCACATTGTAAACCCATCAGTGGGTCGGGCTTAGGGTGGGGAGGCTGCTCCAGAACCTGGGCCACAGTTTCCTCCACCCTGTTTCCACTACAGTATGACTCTAACAGACGTGCCCTCCTCTTCACTAAAGTTCAGGAAGGTAGGAGAACCCCACACTGTAAACTGGCTCCCGTCCGGGTGCGAGGGAGGTCAGCGCCGGTGGAGAAATGCTGCGGCTAACCGCTCCGAAGTGCTAAAACAGCCATGGGGAGGCCAGTCTACTGCCATGTTCTGGGTTTTCACATTTTCCCTCATCTTGGAAAAGCTCAACCGAGGATCACAATCACCCGTCCCGGCTTAGGTGACACATGCTTTTAATCACCCATTTATGAAACTGAAGATTTTATTATTTCATTTCCTTTTGCGTACTACGGCTGCACCTCCCCGGGCTTGACCCAGCAACCATCTGGTCAAGAGCTGCCACATAATAGGAAATTTAAGGGAAGCTGGATAACGGTATCCGACATGATCAGGTGGCTTAAAATAGCATGAAGGGCATTACAGAGGCAAGGTCACCCATTTTCTGATTTGCTGCTCTATGCGTTCTGCTTAGACTCCCAGTTATTCACAGCACTGGGAAAAAAATAGGACTTCCTGTGGCACACCCAGCAACAGGAAGTCCTATTATTTATAGACATGGTCCACAGGGTTGTGCAGTGTCCACATTTTCCTCCTGCTTTGAGACCAGCAAATATCTAAATAATGCTCTTTAAACCTCACTTGATCTGGATTTTGAGATAAAATTTTGCCGTGGGAGTTTAGCAGTTCCAGGTTTTACCAAAAACTGAATGGAAAAGGCAATGACCTTATAACTCTGTATAAAAAGCTTTTTTTGTCAGGCAAGGAAAGGGGCAGCCATGTGCCTCATAATGGGCAAGCTGTGTCTGCAA